TTTTATTTAAAAAAAAATTTTTTTTTTTTTTTTTTTGGTTTTCAGTATCCGTTAATATGACTTTGATTCAAATGTGTATATTTTTATATATATACTGTATATATATATATATATGTATTGCTGATGTTGATGATTAGAGATTCATGATCTCTGTGTTCTGGGGTATTTTAGTCTCTCTTATGGTCTGTCTGCAGGGTGATTGGCAGCGTGTCTCAGTTCGAGGAGTTCAGTCGCGTGTTTCACTGTCCCAGAGGGTCACCCATGCATCCGGTCAACAAATGCGCCGTCTGGTGACCTTTAACCCCTGAGCGTCTCCTCATCGCCCTCTTTTCCATGACGAACCGCTCCGAGCTGCTCCCACGCCGTTTGATGTTTACAGCATTTTAGTGATCAGAAATCAACTTGTGCTCATCGACACGTGCCATATTTCACACCCATCTTTCTTTGAAATCTTTATTTTTATATACGGATGCAGAGTGTGTCGAATCAGGCGTGATGGTGTGTGTGAGTGTGTGAGTGTGTGAGTGTGCGTTTGCGAGAGTGAGTGTGAGTGTGTGAGTGTGTGAGTGTGTGAGTGCGAGTGTGTGTGTGAGTGTGTGTGCGAGTGTGTGTGCGAGTGTGTGAGTGTGTGTGTGAGTGTGTGTGAGTGTGTGTGTGAGTGAGTGTGTGTGTGAGTGTGTGTGTGTGTGTGTGAGTGTGTGAGTGAGTGAGTGAGTGAGTGAGTGTGTGTGTGAGTGTGTGTGAGACGGTCCTGTACTGTAGGCATGTTGATGTTTGATATGAAGTGTTTTGTCAGACAGGTTCAGTGTTTTTAAGTAGAATCGGCTGCTGAGGTGACCGTCGTCAGCTTGACAGAGGAGACGAATCGAAATACACTGATTTCACGTTGCCCCTGTATGTTGATTCTGTGGAAACCCGTTTCTGCCATGGAAAAAATATACGTGACCCTGGAGCACAAAAGCAGTCTTAAGTCGCTGCGGTATATTTGTAGCAATAGCCAAAAATACATTGTATGGGTCAAAATGATAGATTTTTCTTTTATGCCAAAAATCATTAGGATATTAAGTAAAGATCATGTTCCATGAAGATATTTTGTAAATTTCCTACCGTAAATACATCAAAACTTAATTTTTGATTAGTAATATGCATTGCTAAGAACTTCATTTGAACAACTTTAAAGATGATTTTCTCAATATTTAGATTTTTTTGCACCCCCAGATTACAGATTTTCAAATAGTTGCATCTCAGCCAAATATTGTCCTATGCATAAATCTCAATTTTACAAAATTGACCCTTATGACGGGTTTTGTGGTCCAGGGTCAAAAAATGTAATTGCATATTTTTCTCTCACAATTATGCCTTTTTCTCTAAATTGCATTTCCAAGTTACACACTCGCAATTCTGAGTTGAAATCTCAAAGTTTACATCTTTACCTTTTTCTCGCAATGCTGACTTTTGTCTCGTAATTTTATTTTTTTCTTGTAATTCTGAGTTTGCATCGTACAATTTCAACTTTTTTTCCACAATTCAGACTTTTCCCCCTCATACTTTTGACTTTTTTTCTTGTAATTCAGACTTTTTCCTCATAATTCTAAGATTACATCTCGCACTTGACTTTTTTTTCTCATAATTCACAATTTTTTCTCATAATTCTGACTTTTTTCTCATAATTCAGACGTTTTTCCTCACAATTCCAACTTTTTCTCACGATTCAGACTTTTGTCTCATAATTCTGAGTTTATATGTTGCATTTCTGTTTTTTTTCCACCACAAAATAAAAATATTAGTTAATTAAAATTACAAAAGAACATGACTTTTTATCTCACAGTTTGGACTTTTTTCCTCACACTTTCAAGTTTACACTATATCTCGCAATTCTGCGATTATATTTCACTATTTTGAGTTGATATCTCACGATTCTGAGAATTGTGAGGGAAAAAAAGTCTGAAATGTGAGATAAAAAGTCGCAATGACGTTATTAAATGTCTTTATTCCATGGTGGAAACAAGCTTCCCGTATGATTCTGTGTTGAGCTTTTCTCAGATTGTAATTTTAATGTGATAAAAGGTTTCATGACTCTCTCGTCCAGATCTGGAACAGATGATTTTTGCATGATTTTTCATCTTTATGTTGTTTTCCGCTCAGGACAGAGACCCATGGCATTCTGGGATAATGAGCGGAATATTTGAGACAGATGACAACTTATTTTTTAGATAAAAATACGAGTTTATGTTCCTGATGTGATTGTCATGTGATCTTTTTTTTTTTTTTTTTTGTGATGATCTTTTGGACTTAAAAAGAACCCAACATTTCTGTCAAATCCAAACAAACATGTATGCAACTGCAGCCTCTCCAGTGTGAAGAAATGAACATGTTTTTGCCCGTGGAAGATGAAAGAGTAACTTTGTATAGATGAATTATATGAAAGTAAAAAAAAAAAATGTACAGGTCAAATAAAGCATGTTTGCTGTTAAAAAGTTCGAAAACATACAAAACACACAAAACCAAGAAAAGTAAAACAGCGTTCAGTGAAGATCTGGAAAATGCTGAATTCTCCATAATCCATGTTTGGAATAAAACAAAGTCATATGCAACAACTGAGATCTTTCTTTTAATTTGTTTTAATTTTTTTTATATAATTTACACAGTATTCACGTGTTGAATTTAAATACAAATATTGGGACTTTTAACTTTTTCCGTCAGTCGCTAAGCAACACTCAAACCATAGCAACGTGTGTGACTTCATTTCTATGTGATATTCCATTATATAATGTATTATTTTGAAAAGTACGCATGCGAGATATATCTTATAAACAGTTTACTACTAATTCTTAAGCAGATACTCAAATAGACAACAAATATCTATGAAATCTGATGTACACGCGTCTGTGGAAACCAGACTCGTGACTTGTATTTTGTAATCTGAAGTCCGGAAGTTGTCATCGCCGACTTCGCAGCCTCTGCTTTGCGCGCTTGTGTTTTGTTTCCTGTTTGCACCAAACAACGAATTCACAACAAACAGAACTAAAGGTTATAAAATGTGAGTTTACTTTAATTAAATATGATCTAAGATTAAACCCGCATTTAAATGGACTCGAGCTCAAAACCCTCCGCGGGACGAGAAAAGGTAAACATATCTTCAACATTCACACTTTCAACAGCTTTAACGTTAAAACAGATCACGCGACATCAAACTATCGAAATAAACATTACACGTCATATATTTAATTTAGAATAATGTTGTTTAATTTAACCATAATGTATTCAGGTGAACGCTGGGTTGGAATTAATGAGCATTAAAATCAAACTGGCTTTAACTTCCGCTAAACTTCCTGTTTTTGATCACTTCTGCTGCTTTAAATGATGATTTGTGGTTTTTTAACTGGATTTAAAACTCATTTCTAAACCTAGAAGAGTTTAAAACAAAACATACAAACCCAAAACACACTTTTGAAGTTGTATTTAGTTCATGTATTGTAATAACAGTTAATAACAGTACAGAGTAAACATACAGAACTTTGTAATATATGATGCTTTTTTATGTTATTCTTGTCTTGCGAATGTAAAACTCATTAAATGTCATTTATACTAAACTGTATATGCATTACATCAGAATTCACTAGACTGACTAATGGGATATTATTTATTTAATTTCTAACACTGTTTTTCATTATTTAGTCTCATGCATTTTATTCAAGCAAGTACTAATTATTAGCAATTTAATTTACAGTGTTTCTCCCGCATACATTTAATAAAATAAAATCGAGGCAGTCATGTTTGTAGTGTGTGTGTTTGTGCTGTGTGTCACAGGAGGGTGTGACGGAGCCCCTCAGAGGCCGACCGATGTCTGACAGCGTGTCTCTGGCCTCTTACTCCGAGTATCCTGCGGGACGTCCCTTCATTAACACACCCCTGCCCTTCACTAACAGAGCCGTCAAAGCCTTTCCTGAGAGCAGCGGTGCAGGTACACACACACAAACACACACTCACACTCTCTCACACTCACACTCTCTCACACACACACTCTCTCACACTCACACTCTCTCACACACACAC